ATCTTTGTTCTCTTTAGCTAAGCTGCAGTTCACCCTCCTCGATACTTGCCTCAGCTGCTAAAAATTGCCGGGTACCCCCCAGGAGGCCCGTCGCGCGGCAAGAGAGGACGAGTTGCGCGCGTACTATAGGGATTTCGCGTCAAGTTAAATAGAGTGTCCCATTGCACGTCCTACATCGCACATCACGCGCTGCAACTCGTCCGCGACTCTGCCTTCTTGCCGCGCGACGGGCCTCCTGGGGGGTACCCAAATTGCCCCACTATTGTCTAGACGAACGAAATACTGCATCGGAGTCCACCCCCCCCCCCCCTCCCCCACCACACTTCTCCCTCAGCTACACTTGTGTCCTCCTTTTTTCATAAATTCTCTGCTTATGTAAAATTTTACCTCCATCTACACCGAATTCTGTGGTAGTCTCGGAAACCCTCTTTATAGAAGAAACAGTCATTACAGTGTCATTTTCTGTGAGCGACCATGAGCCAAGGTACCGTCAATGAGAGAAATACGCCTCAGCGTACGAGAGCTTCGCGTCGTCGTGCTAATGTTGATGCTGGGTTCGTTTTTTTCTTCTACATGAGCACATATTTGAGAAACAATCAAATCCGTCAAAAGTCGTCGATTACGTTTTCCCTTTAAAGAGAAAACCATCCGATCGGATTGCCTTACGAAAGACGACGTACTAGGAATGCGATCCAAAGCAATGGACCACGTGTGATTGTCCTAAGCGACAGCGAAGGTATAAGAAACAAGCTCAGTGCTTGTTCACATTTAAATAGTGCAGTTCCGACCCTTGAGATGAATTCTTGCTCTCAATTTTGAGCGTTGTGTGCGCATATAGGCTTTTTTTTACTGTGTTTGATTTCAGAAGAAGGTATGGCTGCTAGCTCTCGTAACAGAAGAGGCGGACCTGCGCCTCCTCCGACTCCCGTTGTTAGTGAGGAGGGCCAGCAGCAAGGTAATCTGAGTGAAATTTTACATGTTGTTTATAAATTAGTGTAGTCAAAAGCTGCACGATGGCTTTTCTTGAAACCATGAAATGCTTTCAGCTTTGTAGTGTTTCATTTATGGGTTTTCTTGAAACTATGAAATGCTTTCAGCTTTGTAGTGTTTCATTTGTAAAGGACTGAGTTCAAGTACACCGCCGACTCTCATTCTTCTCAAAAGTGAAGGGTTTGGTTTACTAGGACAGAAAGCGACTTCGCGTTTCGCAGCGCGAAACATTTTCCGCTGCGGGAACCTCAGGTCCACCGCTGATCATCAGTGGACCCGAGGTTCCCGCAGCGAAAATGTTTCGCGCTGCGAAACGCGAAAAAGTCGCTTTCTGTCCTAGTGAACCACACCCAAAGTGAAAGACGTTTTATTAGACAACATCAGGGTTTATAAGAGAAAATCTTCCAGAAAGCAAACTTGGTGATATATTTCTTACAATTGTGATGTGGAATTTCATAATATAGCACTTGCATACGTCGAGCGAGCTGTTGTAAACGAAATTGGTCGCATTAAATGAAAATTCGGCGTGAAAAGCTGTTTCAGGAAGTCGGCCGGCTCGCAGGACTCGTAGAACACGTGAACGTAATGTGCGGCTCGTGCACAGGGAGCCTGTCATAGTTCCAGATGTGGATGATGGTGAAGGTAAAGCTTCGCTAGCGTTTAACTTTCCTTATATACTAGTGGGTACTGCAATAGGTACCTACCCGCTAGCCGCAGTGCTGATGGAAGAATACTATTAATGTTAGAAAAAATACTAAGTCCATCAACATCCTCATAGTTTTACTTTTTCAACAACTAACTGCTGCTTCTCATTTCTCTCCCAACATCGTTGATTCAGTGTTTTTGTATTACAACTTTCGGGGGCATTCATGATGCTGCTTATTTTAGGACAGCAAAATGGTCTCCATTACTGTGACTACTGTGAAATAGACAATGCCGACCCATATGTCTTGGCTGGTGAGTTTGAAATTTTTCTAGTTATGGTGTTGTATGTTCCTACGATGATTGTCAGCATTGTAAGGCCGGTGTCAGACTGCAAATCCAGCTATTCGCTAGTAACGAGTCCGTAGAGTCGGTAGTAGCGAATCTACGAACTCGCCAGCGATTCCGGGGATTCGCTATAAGCGAATCGCTGGGTTAGCAGTCTGAACGGCTCAAGGGTGCTTGGTTATTTTAAGCCGAGCGCGACTTTTCTATGCCTGGTCTCATGGGTGAACGGAACAGGATGCTTCATCCTGTGCCGTTGAGTGGAAATCGCTCGCAGGCAAATGACATTCCTCCTCCCATCGACTTCTCTCTCGAATTCGACACTGTTAGTTCATTGCCGCTGTTAGACCCTCATAATATCAGGCGCGTTTTCATGTATTCATGTTGTAGGTGAAGCGATATGCCACCGTTAATGAGTGCTGGCTTATGATCGCTTTCGTGCAAAGAAGGCTCGGTGATGTACCTCCTACTCTTTCGGTCTTGCGTTGTCCTTTGGTGAAGGAGAGGCTCTCCCAACATTGCTTCGTTACAGAGGTAGTTGAAGAGATGAAGCGTATGTCTGAACAATTCTGAACAATACTTTTCAGATGAACACAAACACGCATGAAGGAATTCGCATGGCTGCTAGATATGGGATTGATGTTTTTCCAACGGTAGTGATAGTGGATCCACGTAATCTGATGGAAGTGTGTAGGCTTACTGGCGAACACTTGGGAAATGCACGCGATTTCCTTGCGGAATGTGAGTTCTGTGACTAGAATTTTCAGGTTTTTTAGAAAGCAGAATGTCGCGCTCAAACGCTTGAGGAGGCGTTTCGCCGACCAGTATGGTGGAATTCTTCGTCATTCCTTATCGACAACCATTTGCACTGTGATTTTTGCAATTTACTTATGTTCAGCTTCCCCAATAGTATCGTCATTAATACATTTGCGGTGTGCTGGCCCTCATTTGAACTTATAATAGGTTTGATTTATGTATCAGCACTTATGTATCTGCACTGGCCGAGATTGAAACTAGTCAATCGAAAGTCCGATATTATCGGTGTAGGGTTAGCTGACGCCATTACTCGCCCTCGTTACGACACAGTGGAGTGCTACAGTGAAATTCCGGGTGCGTTTTTTTCATTTCATTACTATTTGTTTACTTTTAGTTAATGCTTTCATCGTTGACCATCCGAATTACGAAGGTAGAGAAATGGCCGGACAGGTACCTATGGATTCTGATCCTGCAGGCACTGAAAATGTGTGTTTTACTATCTTGAAATTGAGTATTTTGTAGAAATATTGTAGTATTTCCGGTAGTTTTCACCGGGAATACTGTAATATTTTTACAAAACACCTATTTGTATTCGTAATGCTGAATGTTTTCATTTTTCGTTATAGAATGTTTCGGAAGGAAACAGCTCGGGCTCGACTCGCAAACGCCAAAACGTTGCTCCTTTGAAGCGCTCGCCTAAAAGGGAGAAGTTGGATGGTATCAGATCTTAGATCGTTCTGCTTCTCAGGATACTGTTCTAACTCTTTTTTTTTAGATGGAGATGAGATCCGTCTTTCGAATGAAGCGGGTGCTTTGAGCGTCGCGGATAAAGGGGAGTGGAAGAACATGGTAAGTGTCAAGTCATAGTGATAAGTGCCGTTTTGCTACGATCAGAAAATGTTTGTTTACATTGAACTAGTGGCGTCATAATATGTTATACAAAGCAGTAGTTGAGCGCGTTGTTCGTAAACAATGTTGGTGAATGTATTGAACGATCCTTTTGTTTACATTCTAATCTGGCCATCAACCTCCTCGCCTTCCTTTATTTCTTCACATTTTTTCTTCGAGTAGATGTTTCATATATTTGTCTTTCATTTACTTGCTTGTTTTACTATTTCCGTCAACTTTCTTTCGGCTGCTTTCAATACCCTGTGTTTTTTCTCTCTGCACCCACGCACATCGGCACGTCCTTTTCAGTCTTCTTTCTTTGCATCCCCTTCCATGTCTTCGTTGACGCCAAAATTTCATTCATTTCCACATACATGCTCACTGGGAATATATCTTGCATGCCCGGTGAACTATCCTAGCACATGTGTATACTATGTCAGTCTATTGCCAAAGATGCTGTTCATGCAATTTCTGCAGATTCAATCCAAGGACTATTATTGCTGTCACAAAAATATCTTCATAGGTGGCACCTGGAAGCCCTCCGTGCGTTGTGCGCTTCCGCTTCCCATGTGACGACGGTAGCCGCACTGAGACTGTTCAATTCACCATGAACACTAAACTTGCAGTGAGTGTCTGACGCCAATATTAATAGGATTTGCGCAGAAATTCTCATTCAGGCTCTTTTCTCGTTCATCCGTGACCATGGTTTCGTACCCTCTCGTCACTTGCTTGTTCTTTCGTTCCCTCGCCGTGAATACTCGACTCAGCATGGAAACAAAACTCTTGAAGAGCTTGGCTTTACCAAGTCGGAAGTGATCCATGTCGATCACATCGCGAGTGATGGCCCTGCGAATGCTGGACCGTCTTCTGGAGCACTTAAGAAATGATCATCGAGTGTTATTTGTGGTATCATTATTTACTCAGCTTATGTCTAGATTTTTACTCCGTCGTAGTTTTTTTTTGGATGTGTGCCGCCACTCATTCATTCCAACTGCCTGTTGTGTTGTTTGCGGGTCATCACTGTGGTGTTGTCTTGCGGGTTTTTAAGCGCTGATTATTTGCAATGAATGCGTTGAATGTATGTGATACCTAGATATGAGAAACATAATTATTTATTTATGGAATTATTGGCGTGTAACGAAGTAAATTGTTTTTATCAGTGCTTTTGCTTGGAAGTACACGCGGTAAATTACCTTCATAGTGGAACCACTTGTTGCTGTGAAAATTGACTTGGCGTCGTTGAAATATAATTTAGGGCATGGTTGAGCGGTGTTACATGATTGTAGCGTGAAATGGATGTGCTTTCAACCGCTGATGGTATAAGATCTCTCTGTGAACGGTTACGAGTCGAACGCTTATTGATCAACAGCGAAGTGAGTTTCATTTGCAGTTTTTCGTGAATTTTTTTTGAAAGTAGTAACTAAGCGTTAAGTTTCGGCTCGCGAGAAAATGTTAAAATCATGAATATATTAGGTTGGAAAGAAAGTCCTGCAACACTTTTTCAAATTTTTGATTTTAATTTTATCTTTTTTGTTTACAACTCCTGACCGGTCTTATATCTACCATGAGTGTCCACCACTTGTCTTCAACGCTCAGAAAATTTCTTGATGCTCCTTTGCCAAAACCCAGCGGAGTGCGGGTCGAGAAAGGAGGCGACCTCACTTTCGAGTTGGAGTTGATCGTCTAATTATTTCGTCATCAAGATGATGATTTAAGGTAGGATAGGTGGCAGTCATTTATAGCTCGACCAGGGGAATACGCTAAGAGAGGTAAGAAATCTTGCCGCAGCTCCAGAATTTCTTACCGGGCTCATTTCGGATCATGGTGATTCGCAATGTCATGAAAGAAATAAATATTGTCGCGGTACGAGGGCTCCTGACGAGCTGCCTCGGCCAGCTTCTGGAGTTCCGCAGCCTAGACCTCTACCTACACAATGGTGCCCATAACGAAGAATTTGTAGTGGAGCTTCCGTAAGAGCCCTACCTGTAATGGAGTGTGTAGGGACGCTGCTGGCTTCTTATAAAATATCAAAAGATCGAAAGCGCTGGTAAAGGTGAAACACGCTGTAGCGGTGAACGGCATGCCTATTGAAGCTATTGCAGATAGTGTTGGTCGTTGACACGAATCCATAGTTATGGAGACATTTGTACTAGACAGTGACTCGGAGTATGGATTTACTAGTGGTCGAGGTTTTTTGAATTTTCTTGGATAACTACTGACTGCAGCACTTATATCCACCTCGTGGATTAAAGCCTCGAGAATGCTCTACCATTTGTTAGTCATAAATGTTACCTATGAATTTTTCAGAAAAAAAGAAAATTTTAGAAAGAGTGTTGCAGAACTTTCTTTCCAACCTAATATTCTGAGATTGCTAAATGCGTTGGGTCTGTAAAACGTTGAAAGCTTGGGCTCTTACAGGTAAGCTCATTGCGGGAACTGAACAATGAGATATCTACGAAACTTCTTCAACTGGGTTTGCTTTCATGGAATAACAAACAACACCAGGTAATACGAGTTTGTTGGTCATGAAACGCAGTAGGTGTAGCAGTTTTTCGATGAATTTCGCATTTTCTGCTCTCGAAAGATATTATCGCGTGCAGCTTACTGTTGCTTCCGCTTGCATGCTTCATTCGATACAGGCTCTAAATAGCCAAAATATCCCAATGCAGACTATCTTTTCAGCTTTTGCTTCATCGCCTTGTGAGTTCGCATAGCTGTGTCTCTCAGGACAACTCGTGTGCTATATCTTCACAACTCAATGCCGTAGAATTCGAAGAAGCATATCGGTCAGTGTAGTTTTTACATATTTTGTTTACTTTGTGTTTGCATAACCTTGATGGATTGGTGAGGTGGATCGCGGTTACTGTTTCATTTACTTGTTCTCTTTTCTTCTCCTAGAATTCCCATTGTCATCATTTCCCCATTTAAGATTCCGCTCTCCCTTTCTATGGTCTCACCAGAATGATCCTTCAAGTGCCTCGCTTTTTCAAGGCGGATTGTGTAGTGGAGGGGCTGGCGCATGAAACTCAATGCAAGACTTGTCTAGGTTCTATCAGAGGAGCACGTCGACGGCTGTTTCGATTCATCAATAGTGGATTGACAAAAAACTCGGCGTCCATGTTTGGGTTGGTGGAGGACGTTCAAAAGAGGGCCTTTAAAACCATGACAATCATTTCATGTCTTCACAGGCACTCAGCAGAAGTGAGCAAAATTCGGCCCTCAGCGCGGTTCGTCGCTCATCTGCGCTTTCCCGGAGTACATTTTAGCGAGTTGTTCATATGAAGTGCCCTAATTTTGTAAAAGATGTTCTGGCATTTTTCGAAGGTGTAGGAGTCCTTTAAAGTTGTGAACTGGCTGGTGGTTTCATTCCCACTTCATGTTTAGGTTTATTTTCTGTTTTATGTTCTTTGAAGTGAATGTTTCGTTTTCTTTTGCGTTTTTTGTGCTAAGCGGTGCGAAGTAGCTGTTGTCAGTGAAGAAATAAAAATTCCTGGGAGGGGAGAGGAAAGGTGTCCTTCGGCAGAGAAGCTCTGCGATGGGGGAACAAACTACTCGTCCTTCTGCTCAAAAATACTTCTTCACCTACTTCTTCCTGAGCTAAACTTGTTGGAGCAGGGTCAACCGTCACGTTCGAACATTTTCGGGATTTTTGCGACCCCTAGCTCTCGAGGGGGTCCAGTTGCGACCCCCTGTTTTTGTTAATAAGAGTGCTAGACATGAATCCGTTGCGCCAGAAAGCGTCTGCGCCGCCGCCGCAGAAGCGTCTGCGTTGCGGCGTCAGCCTTGGAGCGCGGCAGGTATCACCCGGGCGCTGGAAGAACGGGACGCGGCGAAGAAAAAATTTTAGAGGGGAATAACTTTCTTGGGACGTATTTTTTGACTTGTTGAGGTAGATTTTGATTGTGCCTGAGGTGCGCTTCCAGAAAACTACAAGGATTGCCTAACTCTCCGGAAAGTACTTCTGTTAGAAGTGGAAAACCCAAAATTCTAAGAAGGCGCACCTTCAACTTTGAAGGCCCATAAAATCTTTCGTATGCGATTTTGGAAATCTGTAAAAAGTTTCAGAAACTTCAAATATTTCTCTAACAAAACAGTATAAAAAGTTTAGTGATTGTCCCCTTTTTCAAAAAATTGTCCCGTTCGAACATTTTTCGTGCAAAAGCGAGTTTTTGGGCTTTCAGCGACCATAACTCACTTCATTTTCATTTCTGTGATGCACTTTTTTCATGGGGTGAAAGTACAGGATTTGCTCTTTCTAACAAGCACCAAACCGTTTTTCAAAGTCCATTTTTCGAGAAAATCACACGTTCGAACATTTTGGGGGTTTTGCCAAAATCGCGAGTTTTTGGGCTTTCAGCGGCCATAACTCACTTCATTTTCATTTCTGTGATGCACTTTTTTCATGGGGTGAAAGTACAGGATTTGCTCTTTCTAACAAGCACCAAACCGTTTTTCAAAGTTCATTTTTCGAGAAAATCACACGTTCGAACATTTTTTCCCATAGGTTTTTGAGCAGCACATGCGAGTTTTTGAGCTTTCAGCAATGATAACTTCCTTCAAAGAGCTTGTTGGAGAGGGATGAAGACATTTGTGAGACCTCGGTCAGACTCGGCGATTGCGTCGCTGTACACCAGCGACGGAATCGCCGGCGACGGAGTTGCCCGGCACAAGAGTGGCAGCAACGGGCGATGACTCAGCACACGATCGATATCGGTTGGCAGGGGAGATTAATCATCCTCACCCATCGTTCATGTTGTTCTGCTCGGTTTTTTTTTCAAATTCTTAATCAGGATAGTGGTCCTCCCTGTCATTGTAATAACTTCAAAGGTATCTTGAAGTAACTAGCTCGAAACTTGATTGGTTCTTTGATCGAGTGGGAAAATCCATGATAGTTGTATTTCACAACTTCTTTTGGTGGGTCATTTCATCACGTCAATTATTACAGGACCACTTTCCTCGCATTCAAGTGCATCCCACGCAGTCTTTTCCTGATTATATCCTATCCTGATTAAGAATTTGAAAAAAAAAAACCGAGCAGAACAACATGAACGATGGGTGAGGATGATTAATCTCCCCCTGCCAACCGATATCGATCGTGTGCTGAGTCATCGCCCGTTGCTGCCACTCTTGTGCCGGGCAACTCCGTCGCTGGTGTACAGCGACGCAATCGCCGAGTCTGACCGAGGTCTGAAGGCTACGAGATTTTCGCTTCCTTACAAGTTTCACAGTACATTGGAAGAAGCGTCCCCAAAAAATAGGTCTCCAAAGAACTTTAATTTCAGCCCCGAGAAGTCAAACCTTTCATAGGGATGCATTCAACTGTTCTTTATTCCTCAAGAAAACACCGTAATTTGCCTAAAACTGTCTCTCTGTGCATAATAAATCGAATCTAATGCGGTCTGCACAAGCAAGTCTTGCCCTCGGATACGCCACGCACGCGCCTGTGGCTGGCAGTCCTCGAAATTGCGACCCCCTTCCGACCAAAATGCGACCCCTTCGTTCGAACAGTTCGAACGGACGGTTGACCCTGGTTGGGAGTCTATGAACAACGTGACGGTAGAGGTCTCTGAAATCGAGCAAAAAGGAGAGGAACAAAAAAGAGGAAAATGCTTATTCTTCTCTCGGAGTCCTTTCCCTTCCTAAGGCTTACCAGGAATGGTCATTAGGCCAACCCGGCCAAATGAAATGAGGTGCACATTTCTGTACGCAGCATGAGACGCTGAACTCAAATCTGCTTTCATTATCTGCTGAACTCTTCTCTGAAAGGAGTTACGGAGACCTTTTTTGTCTCCCTTACTGTTTCAGTCTCTTGCCTGCAATTACAAGTTGACGCACTTATATACGACACGTAGGAGTTAGGACAGTTGACGACGAACGCGTCTGGTGG